CCGCAGTCCTTGAGCCAGCTGAGGCCAAGGGAGAAAAGCCCATCCCCGACAATGGCTCCACTTTGTCGGGGGACCTCGCCGGGACCTCGCGGTTTCGCCAAAGGTGGCGGGGTACTTTCCGCAGCCGGGAGGCCGACCACTCTGCCCTGGGTAAAACGCAACCTCCCCGCCCCTTCCGTGAATACCCCCCCTTTTCTTTCTTCTCCCCTCTTCTCTTCTCTCGAGATTCCGCCCCCCGGTTGCGCACCCCGTTGAGGCCCTCGGAGCTTAGGGCATCGGACAACCGCCCACGGGCCCACGGATCCTCCAACGCCCCTTTCTTCTTCACTCCCACTTTCGGTCTTTACTCTCTCTCTCAAGGTAGCCGGGCGAATGAGCATGACAAGTCTGGTTCGTCGGTCGGGGAACACGTTCTATATCGCCCACGAGTTCGTCGCCCGGGCCGGTGGTCAGGTTTCGAAAATGTCCGGCCAAGCCCAGAGCCCACGGAGTAAGGCAGCTTCTCTCCCCCTCACCCTCGCAGGAAATCGGACCAGGCGCAGATCCGAGATCTAGCGAGCACCTTAACCATTCTATGTCATTCCTTCAAGAGAAGACCGACCCTATGCTGACTTTACTTCGAAACTGTCGAGCGAGCTCGTTGACCTCCCTCTCTTTCTCCCGCGTTTTTACGAGAAGACATGCCAGGTGCAGACTCTACTTCGGGACAAAAATCTGTCGAGCACGCGCACTCTCTCCAAAAAACAGATCAGGTTCACACATTGCTCCGAAATAAAGAACAGTCGAGCGCATTCGCCCCTGTACGAGAGATCTGACCAGCTTCGGACTTCACTTAGCAACGAGAAACAGTCAGGCATGCTCTTTTAACCTCTCTCTCACTCGCATTTTCCCGAGAAAACAGACCTCCCTCTTCAGACTTTACGAGAGATACGAAATAAAGAACAGTCGAGCGCACTCACGCGTTTTCGAGAGATACGACCAGATCCGGACTTTACGAAAAACAGACTGGCACTCTCTTCGACCTCCCTCTTTCCCTCTCAACTTCCCGAGAGGACAATCAGATTCAAACCTTTCTTACAGACAAAAAACCAATCGAGTGCGTTCTTTCCACCTCCCTCTCATTCGTACCTTCCCGAGAAAGCAGACCAGATACGGACTTTACTTAGAAATGAGAAACAGTCGAGCATGCTCTTTTAACCTCTCTCTCACTCGCATTTTCCCGAGAAAACAGTCCTCCCTCTTCAGACTTTACGAGAGATACGAAATAAAGAACAGTCGAGCGCACTCGCATGTTTTTGAGAGATACGACCAGATTCGGACTTTACGAAAAATAGTTTGGCACTCTCTGCGACCTCCTGCTTTCCCTCTCAACTTCCCGAGAGGTCAATCAGATTCAAACCTTTCTTAGAGACAAAAAAAACGATCGAGCGCGTTCTTTCGACCTCCCTCTCATTTGTACCTTCCTGAGAAAGCAGACCAGATTCAGACTTTACTTAGAAACGAGAAACAGTCGAGCATGCTCTTTTAACCTCTCTCTCACTCGCATTTTCCCGAGAAAACAGACCTCCCTCTTCGGACTTTACGAGAGATACGAAATAAAGAACAGCCGACCGCATTCGCGCCGTCACGAGAGATACGACCGGATTCGGACTTTACGAAAGACAGTCTGACACTTCTCTTCGACCTCCCTCTTTCTCTCTCAACTTCCCGAGAGGACAATCACATTCAAGCCTTTCTTAAAGACCAACAAACAATCGAGCGCGTTCTTTTGACCTCCCTCTCATTGGTACCTTTCCGAGAAAGCAGACCAGATTCGAAATTTGCCTCCAAATGCAGAACAGTCGAGCGCTCTCTTAAAACTCTCTCCCCCTCTTGCACCTTCTCGAGAGAACCGACGAGCTTCAGACTTTTCTTAGAAACGAAAACAGTCGAGGACTCTCTTTTAGCTTTTCTTTCTCTCTCGCATCTTCTCGACACAACCGATCAGATTTGGACTTTCCTTAGAAACGGAAACAGTCGAGGACTCTCTTCCAATTTTTCTTTGTCTCTCGCAACTTCTCGAGAGGAATGACAAATTCAGACCTTACTTAGAAACAAAAGACAGTCGAGCGCGTTCTTTTAACCTCTCTCTCTCACTCTCATCTCCTCGAGGAAACAAACCAGGGAACAGACCAAACTCAGATGTTGTGATCGAGCCAGCTCGCCGACGTTTCTTTCCCGCAAAACAAATTGACAGGCGACAACCCGACTTGGAGGTCGACAGTTAAGTTAAGAGGAGCCTTGGAAGCGGCGAACCGCCTCCCTTCGCGCCGAAGTTCGTGCTTTCTGGGCAGCCGATCCGACAGGAGTTGCAGCGGAGTGACTCTTCGTCCTCAGTAATTTCCTAACCTTTGCGCGGCAAGCTAACGGGCGAAGACTGGCGCTCGTGTGGCGACTCGTGCGCTCGCCCTCCTCCTTCTCTCGCTCTCCTTTCCCCTCTCTGGCTCCGCCCCTCCTTCGTGCGCGCCTTCTCTTTCCTCGTGCCCTTCCTTTCTCTAACTCTCCTCAGCTCTTCCTCTCCCTTGTGCTCTCTCTCCCTCTTCTCTCTCTCTCTCTCTCCTATGCTCGCCAGCCGCCGAGTGTCCTGCTCTTGGAGTTACTGCGAGCGAAGGGAGCCGCCTGCTCGAGTTCCCTCTCCATTCTTCCCCGAGCGCACCTTCCCCCCCTCCTCCAGGGAACGCTTCTACCGGTGATCCTCTTCCACGGACCCCCTTCCCGAGGTCCGCCCTTCTCTCCTTTCTTGCTCTCCCGTCCTCTATCTCTTGATGGTGAGCTCGGATCCCGAGCGTGTTCACTCCCTGTCCGAGCGTCGGTGCTCTGCCCCGCCACCAGGAGCAGGCTAGCTGCGGTCTTAACCGTACGTGGGCGAGCTCCGTGTGCTCCGTGCGTTCCTCCTCAAAAAAAGCTCCCTTTCTGGCCCCGCCCCTCCCCTCTTTATACGCGCCGACCGCTCAACCCTCCTTTCTCCTTTTTTGGCAGCGGCATCCTTTCTCAATCTCCTAGAATTTTCATTTCCCGCCGATCGTCCCTTCGAAATTTCCCGAAATTTTCCCGCCGATTGCAGTCAATTAGTTTCAAAACCTCCCCCTTCTTTTCTTTGGCCGCTCGCAATCCCTCTACTCGCTTCCTTCGCCCAATCATCGCACTTTGCCCCCTTCGCTCTTCGTTTCTTAGAGCTCCGACTAGTCTGACCACCGATCCTCCCATCCTTACCTTGCCCAATCGTCGCATCGCGTTATCTCCCCCTCTCTTTCCCCGGGTTTCACCAGGACCTGTCGTGGTTCAGCTTGCGACCTTTGGTCTGTCGGTCTCGGAGCCAGCCGAGCTCTCCGCCTGATTTTCGCCAGTATCTGTCCCGTTCGCATGCCTCCACCCTTTGCCGACAAATATCAAGAAGACAGAGAGCGCGTTCTTTCTCGATTTCCTAGAATTTTCATTTCTCGCTGGTCGTCATGTCAAAATTTTCCGAAATTTTCCCGCCGATTGCAGTCCCTTAGTTTCGGCCGCTCGGAATCTTTATGCTTGCTCCCTTCGCCCATTCATAGCGCTTTTACCTCCTTCGCTCTCGTTTCTTAGAGCTCCGACTAGTCTGACCACCGATCCTCTCATCCTTACTTTGCCCAATCGTCGCATCCCGTTCTCTCCCCGTCTCTTTCCCTGGGTTTCACCAGGACCTGTCGTGGTCGAGCGTGCGACCTTTGGTCTGTCGGTCTTGGAGCCAGCCGAGCTCTCCGCCTGATTCTCGCCAGTATCTGTCCCGTTCGCATGCCTCCACCCTCTGCCGACAGTTATCAAGAAGACAGAGCGCACGTTCCCTAACGACTGCTCGACTTCCCAGTTCTGTCCCCGATTCCCCTTCCTTTCTCCTCGTTGGGATTGCCCCGGCCAAAATTCTATCTTCGCTCGCCCCCTCCCCCACCAGGCTGACATGTCCAGTTTTCTCTGGCTTCATCTATCCTCCGGGGCATCGGGGCCCACCCTTGTTTGGATGCTTGATTTTTGAAGACCCGATGACCCCATCATTGCCCTTTCGTCCGTCTTCTGTGCGGTTGCTCGGGCGGCTTTGCTTCACCCTCTTTGTTTTACGCCGAATCTTATTGCCTTGAGTAGTCGCCTCACCATCACCCCTTTTCGGAGTTGTCGTCCCCTGTGCTAACCAGCGAATCGCGCTGAGAGGATCGTTAGGCTGATCGCATTTTTGTTGAACCTTCAGGCCCGTCTTCTGCTGGAGGCTCTAATCCAGCGTCCAGATACAATCTGGCTGCTTCCTCCGAATGACCCTTGGGATTCTCGGCTCCTCTTGTCCGTACTGGCTCCCTGTGTCAGCTTCCAAGGTCCTCTTATCCAGTGCGTTTTACGCTCTGCCCCAGAGTCAGCCCTCAACACAGGATATCCTGACCCCGACAAAAAAAGCCTTGGTTTCAGAAGTCCGCGAGAGCCCGCTTACGATCGCAGTTCGATCCGCCACTTCGGTTCCTTGAGGGGTTAGTAAGAAGCCCCATAAACACAGAAGCACCCACAAACCTCTCAATTGTATGCAAGCATCCATCAACTCAGCCAAAAAAACCAACAAGAAAGGTTGGGAAATTCATAAAAAAAATGGAAATGTCCTTCGGCTGGTAGGCAGCCGCCGGACAACGTTCCCACTGTTTCCGGCCAGCCTTCTGCAGTTCAACGACAGGAGCAAGAATCCACGGGTTTTTATCCCACTCCTTCTGCTTTTCCGGGTGTTCCATTGCCGCATTGCGTCCCTGATAGAGGTGACCAGCATCTCGTTCAACGGCCTGTGGCTGTATTGCACGCCTTCCAAAGGGTTGGGCAGTATTTTGACCACGTCGACGAACACTTGGGTAGGCCGATCTATCGCATTGCCGTCGTCGTCGTATTCCAGGAAAAAACATTATTTGGTGTCGATAGTGTCGTTGGTCAACTTTCCAGGCTTTGACGCTGTATGTCTCGGGTCGACCCCGCTGCTTCGTCCCCGGTGTCCGCCACTTCCTTTGTCTCCTCGGCCTTTGCTTTCTTCTTCGGTCTCTAGGAAGATCGAGTTCGTTCACGCTTTTCCTTTGCTGGTTCAGCGGGCTGGGCCTCTAAGGATCTCTTGTAAGCCTCCTTTGAGGCCTGTAAGGTGATGAGCTTAGCTCGTCTCCGCTTCTCTTGTTCCCGCCTTTTCTGCGACCCTCTATTCCCGCCGTCGTCGCGTCTGCCCCACCCTCATCTCCTTCGCTCCCCTCTTCGTAGTTGTCTTCCTGTTCTTCAGCGTCCTCGTCACTTGCATCCTCATTTTCTTCTTCTTCACTCCCATCGCCTTCGTGACCACCATCCTCTTAGCCTTCACTACCATCGCCTTCAGCCCAACCATCCTCCAAGCTTCCCTCTTCATCGTGTGCACCGTCGTAGAACCGATGTTCGTCGTCGTCCCCTTTCGTATCTTTCGCGTCATTGCCATCGGCCCATCGCTCACCGTCCCACTGCCTGAAGCGCGAGTCCTCCTCTGTCTTTTCGTCGTCATCCTCATGGTCAGAGGCCCCACTAGTCGGAGTCAAAGAAACGCGTGCCGCATATTCTGCATGTGATGGTGCCCGCGTCGCAGACACACGCTTCGGCTGGAACAAAGAAGTTGATTTGCTCACGCTCTTTGCCTGTGTTGATGAGGCCCCACTTTTGCTCACTCGGGCGGATGTTTTCGGCTCCCCACAACTCTTGCCTACCGCCTTTGGCGAGCTCACAGAGACGGTAGTTCGCAAAACGGCTTGGCCCATCGCCTGCAGCTTGTGACGTCGCACCATGTTTGCGAAGTCTCCAAGATCACATTCGAACGGCACGAAGGGAGTTGACAAATGCAGCTTGTTGCCAATCGTCACGATATGGTTGGGCACCTTATAGCAATTAACGCGTTTGAGGAACTCGAACGGCCTTAACATCACCATCTGCGACTCATCCTTCTTCTTCGACTTGTTGAATGGTGGCATTGATGCAGCGCGGATGCCGTAATTTTGGAACTTGTCGACATGGGGAGACACGAATTTGTAGTTGTCAGGCACCTCGTGACCGAAGATGTCGAAACACGTCGTCAGATGGAATCTCATGTATTCCTCGTCAGGCATGTTCTTATCGAACGAGTAAGTCTTGATACCCCCGCATGGGTAGTACCCGCCACTCTCATCCAGCAAGAAAATAACTGGCCCGCAACAGGGGACTTTCATACCGAGGTGCCAGTCGATCACCCAATACTTCTCTTGGAACGTGACCGCCCTTCCGACAACCTTCGGCGTAGAAACCCCAGACGAACAAGGAGCTGCACAACACCGTATCCGACACCGGCGTAATACACGGAACAAACAAACAGCATGCTGCCCACTTTCATTAGTATGGGAACATCTAACAAACGGTCGTACTGGCTGGTGCCTTGTCGGCCAAAACATAAAGCACAGCCTTCAACACGCGCACGAGACACACACAGGACGTCTACAAGCGCAGACACGGGGAAAATGTATTTAATGTAAGTTGAAGAATCATCTAAGCATCCCAACCTGAGCAATTCCCTAGCGTGGAAGAGTCGTGACCACCAAGCCATATCTAGTTGTCAGCAGCAGCATAGGCAAATCGGAATGCGGGCAGGTAAGCAAGAACGCACTTGCCTCTTTTGTAACCTCTGGTTGTGATCTCGAAATGACCGCTGCCCGTAATGTGTGTGCAACCTCTGCCTGTCATGTCTGTGTAACCTCTGCATGTAATCTCGACATAACCTCTGCTTGTGATCTCGGTGTGACCTCTGCTTGTAATCTGTGAGATCACAGGCAGAGGTCATACCGAGATTACAAGCAGAGGTTACATAGACATGACAGGCAGAGGTTGCACATACATTACGGTCAGTGGTTACACAGGGTCTGGGGCCACGTCGTCGAGGTTACAAAGTGCGAGAGATTACAGGCAGAGGTCATGTAGACCCTCTGATGGTCCAGCGTCGTGGAGGCGCCAGACCATCAGAGGGCCCGGCGTCACCAGACCCTCCTCCCTCCTTCTTCCTTTCTTCCTTTCTTCCTCTTCTTCTCCCGATACTGCGAGATAAATTACAGGCAGAGGTTACACAGGGACTGTTGCCTCGTCGTCGAGGTTGCACAGTGACACAGATTACAAGCAGAGGTCACACCGAAATCACAGGCAGAGGTTATACGGACTATGTTGCACGCTCGATCACGGCTGGGGCCGAAAAATAAAAAGAAAAAATGAAAATGAAAAAAAAAAAAACGCTTTGAATCCCCACGCAAGTGTGTGTGTGTGTGTGTGTGTGTGTGTGTGTGTG